TAAATAATATTGTTTAATGAAATTCAGTTTTTTGTTTATTAAAATATGTTTTCACAAAAATTCTACCCAAAATTTCGCCGTTCTCGTCGTAATTGAATTCCTATCGTACGGTGCAGCCAGTGCGTCTCAAAGTCTACCGTAGTCAAGGACATTTTAATCTACCCTTGAATTTTAACTTATCTTATTTGCCTCTTTCCTTTTTCCCCTAATTACTAACAACTCACAACCTCCTCCTCGCACGTTTCTTAAAACGAAAAGTATTTCCTAAACACGCTTGAGTATTGAAAAGAAAAAAGAAATACTTAATCTTTAGAGTAATTAGCACTGAAAAAGAGATAACCGAAATTTAACTAGAGTTTCGGCACTTAAACTAAATTCAACTTTTCTTTCCGACCAAGTATATTTCATTATGTGTTCCCGCGGTTGACAGTCAATATAACGGTCGATACTGATTGACGTGGAAATCATACAGGTGTACGAGATATCACATGAGCGACGTGTGACGCGTTCGAGTTGGTTTAAATACATTTTGAAGCTCGGTAATCTGGCGTCCTTAATTTTCATTGACCTCTCGCGAGGAAATCTAAATGAAACATTAATCGTCTGTCTAAGATAAAACTCGAGCATGCAGATAGTGAAAATGACAAGTTCCCTCTAATGAAGTGAGATCGTTCAAATATTTTACGCAGACAGTTGAAAAGTGTATCTGAGCGTTTGTCATAGATATATTCCTCGAAGTAAAATCCTTATTAAAATTAACCAAGTGTCTTTATCATTGGCAACGTGAAGTAAGCATAATTGACATTAACTTATTAGTATTCATGATTGCTAAAAATAGTTATAGATGACTGACTGATTTCGTATTTGAGGTAACACTACGTGTAAACTTATGTAACTTTTTTTTATGCTTTATACATATAAATTGCTAGATCGATTCTAAAATTGAAAGTGGAATCTGTTTTTTAACTTTATTTCTATAATCGTTGAATCGAATTGAAGCTTGTATTAACTGTAACGATTCATTGGACGCAGGTCACGATTGCTGCTGAGACACGGCATGACAAGCGGGGGCCGACTACCAACGCAGCAGCAGCAGCAGCACCCTTCGATCCCCCAGGCCTCAACCACCGTTCAATCAATACGCATGTTCGCGCAGTGGCACGTCCACGCGTTCAAACCGCTAAGGAGTTTTCACGTAATTTGGCTGCCACCAACTCGTGCCCATCTCGAGACAGATATTGTAATAATTGTCGGGAAGGAACGACCGATAGAACGGTCGATAGAGCTTAGGGTAGCTCGGCGTGGTTGATACGTTGTCGATGTGGATAGACAGCGGTGGTACACGCGCACACAGCACCACCGAATGGAGGGACCGAGAGAATACGGGAAGCGGCGTGAGAGAAAGGGAGAGGACGGACGACATGCGCCGGCCCTCGTTTGCCGCACGTTATAATACGCGAAGCCCACGAACGGAACGGACGTCCGACGACAGTCATTCAGAGCTCGACCAGTGTGCCGCACGTTTCGTGGCTCCTCTGATCTTCTCGGTGATCGCACACCATCGTGTACGGTCGCATCCGCCCCTCGGCTTCCAACGGATCACTTGAGCCGTGGCAAGAATCAGAGGAAGGCTGCGAGGAACGATGCTCTGAGGGTGGCCGTCGCGTGCACGCCGGACATATCGTCTCCCGGTGATTTTTTTTCTCCGTGACCCGTAGCCGACTGAGGAAATAGACACCAGTGATTCAGTGAGAATCGTGAGCACGAGCCGTATACAAGGGTCAAACGATTTCCTCGGGATAAAGACCGATTACTCGGTGAGTGATTTTATGTATGGTCGTTATATGCATACTCCTCGGCCCGATACGTACGCATGAAAGTTCTCGTGAACGTGGTGAATATTGAATGAAAAGTGATCGGAGTTACGATTGTCAGGTCACTAAAAACATTTAAAGGATGCGACGTTCACTGATGAATGGAATTGAGCAGCTAGAGTGGCCAATTATATTATGCAAGTCTTGGAAAATCTAAACAAATTTCGTACCTTAGGATACAAGGAATTTATTAGACTGCAGGATTCAATTTCTCGTAGGATTCAGATTTGAATTTCCTGTTTCGAACGCTACATCTGATGTCCGATAAGACCACGTCGCGAAGGAGTTGTATGATTATTTGAATGAAAACAACTCCCGCATATGTTTCGCTACTAATTAATTATAATGTCTAAACGAATCGCGAAATATTCTTTATGACGCGGCGATGGTCGTCTTCTCTGTATCGGTGATAACGTGGAACGAAAACTGGGTTCGGAAAACCCGGTCGGCGACCCACGTGGCCTATTGATTTTCTCCGCCACCGCGCCGCTATGTTCACGCTGGTGGAAACTGGCTTTTTCTTCCATCGGTTAGCGCACCCTGCGAATATTGCGTTAAGAAACCCTATCATTCTGTCATCAAACATGAATCAAGTTTAGATCGTTTTCTGCTGATTTTTATAATTATCGGGTTTGCTTGTAGTATAAACTAAATCATTTCTATCAATAACAATTCTGTATTAATTTCTCATACTGAACAGACTGTTTTTAGTAGTTAATGACGCAACAGGAGCGCGTGATCGACTGTAATTATTTGTCAATACTGACTAATTAGAGGGGACGGATTTTGGAGTCGGCTGCGTGTAGCTCTGTACTCGATGGAACGATTCGTCAGTGTAGAATTACAAAGTATGTACGCTTCGCTCCTTATCACAACAATCAGCCGCTTTCCTGCAAACGGATCGATACGTATCCCAAGCGTGATTTGAACACGTTTAGTTACCATTTCTGACAGGTAGTCACGCTCGTCGCTGTGTCACCGTAAACACCAGACATGATAAGGACAGACGCCTTATAAGTACAAACGCTTAATTAACGCAAATTGCTTTTTTTTTAAAGAGGAGCGAATGTCTTTTTTAAACCATTGTAACGTTGACACATCGCATAGTGCAATGTTCTTTCTAACGGGACTTTAGGTTGTCGTTGGTTGTGAATTGGGTATTCCTTAATAAAAGTTTCCGTTAACCCGCAACGCATGGAAGGATCGATATCGCGTGGTTATCTTTCATGGGAGTCTTATGTGCAGGTAACATTCCCGTTAGCCGGTGAACATTGCGACGTCGTAGGTGTAGGATCAATAAAAACTGACGTAATGTTCCACGAAAGTTTCGGGAGCCTCCAGACTCGTCGGAATTCGGTTCCCCTGTGGCACGTGAGACCGGACCGTTATAGGCCGGACGAGTCAAATCTTTTATTCAATCGTCTCAATTTCCGCGCGAAACGACATTAGAGTAGCTCCAAACATGTTTGGTTTCATCGCTTCATTCAAGAATGAACTTAATTGTTATGTTAATTAACGTTAGAGTCAATAGATATTTTTCATTGTCATTTGATGTGAAGAATGAATCTTGTATCAGATGTGAAGAGATTTGATTTCAATTCTATGTCGAGGACGTGGAATAGCCTTGAAATTCGTGGCTTGTACTATCGCTATAAATACTTTTTATTCGAACTGGAGCTAAAAACGCGTTGCGAACGTACTTCGTCCGCGATTCTGTATAGAATAACGAAGGATGGAACCGGTACACGATGAAAGGGGGTTCTTAGATCGTCTATGGGCAAGTTTGGGACGAAGTTGTCGCCCGTATGCGTGGCCAGATGAAAAGGAACCGTCTATTATGTATAATAGACGTGTGCGATATTCTCCGATGCGTATGTGAGGCACATGGTTGAAGCAGTACGAGTGCCAGACTGTCGTATTAGAAGGCCGAATTAAAGAAGGTTCTCCCCTATCCGGGTACCAGGGGACAGAACTGTCCTACCGATTTTTCCATGATTTATTACCTACGAAAATAACGAATCTCCTTGGGAAATTCAGACAACACGTGAAATCGTAGGAAAGTTTTTCTTGCCAAACATGGAATATATAAAATGTAATAAAATAATAATAAAAAGATGAAAATGCTATTACGCGTGCAATAAAATATGTATAAAAAATTGTCTTCCTATTTTCATTTCAGTTTTCTCAGCCAATTGTACTGATAGAAAAAGATTATCAGGAATATATCTGCGCGCGTGACTAAAATTCATCAGGTGCTTCAACAGTATACAAAACGTTATCTCTAAACATTAAACAGTAAACGCAATTCGATAGTTGATCATGTCGAGACGAAACACGGCGATCGCTACCGCGGTACGTGAGCCTCACGTGACACCGCGCTGCGTGTCGCTCTTCATCCCTTCGATCTCCGTGATCGATCGCGAGTCCCGGAGGGCGTCGATCGCGTTACGGCTCAACAAGTCGCCGTGTTTGATTTGAGACCAGATACGCTTCGGTTATCTTCCACGTATTTAGACAGGTCGACGAGTTAAGCAACAAGAATTTAGGGGAAAAGAAAGGTAAATACAAGTAGTCGAGTTCAGGTATCGAACTTATCGGATTCGATTGTACTCCCGTCTCGCGCACCCGGGTTTTGAATAAGTAGTGTGGTCAGTTTTATCCGGCGCTGTACAAATAGTCGATAAATATTTGATAGTACGACGATAAACTGTGCACAGATCGGTTTAAGGAAGTGATCTTAATAAAACAAAAATACGAACGTGTTTGTGTCATACATGTACGTAACTCGTGTATTCGTTATCGGTCGACGCTATCATCAGAAAAAGTCATCGATTAGAATATGACTAAATATGGAAGAAACATTTGCCGATAGGACCTTCAGCCTTTCATTGCCATAATCGCTACGAGCGAAATACGACCAATTAGCCAAATATCACGTCGATTACGCTACGCGAATCACCGCCTTTTCTCGTTATCAGTCATTGATTCGACTTGATAATTCTAAAAACGTCACTACAAATTCATCGACGGCGGACCGTCCCGAGCTCGGCGAGCGCAGAAACGTTCGTCTTGCGATTGAATATCGACGCGGCAGGGGAGGAAGCACAGTGGTCGCGGAGAAAAATAGGTTGCGCTACGAATTCATGAAAGCTGACTAATAAAACCGGGATGAATCGGAGAAGAAAATTGGATGGGAAACTCTGTCGATAAGTCAACTCCCTCGGACACTGATATAAGTATACTTTGCTCCGATTACGCGTCGCGACCGCCTATGGATGCAATTACACCTCATCCCGCGTACTAAACACGTGAAAGGATCGTAACCGTTCTCTTTCTACGCGATATTTTCCTCCGCTATGTCTTCGCGTCCGCGGCACCGTTTTGCTGTTTGTGTTTGCTCGCGCTTTGGCGACGATTTATGCTGATCTTGGTGCCTTTGATATTGGTGCCTTGTGTAAACAACGGTTTGCTCGACGTCCAATAAGCAAGGATCAAGAGAAATGGTGGGATACGGAACTTTCGGTATGTCACAGAATCAATTTGCAATTTAACTGGGTATGTAACAAACGAATACCCGAGGATCGATCTCGTTTCAAATCGATTTCAAAGCTGCAAAAATAAACCTTTATTCCATGTGTCTTCTTTGGTGAATTTTATTCTCCTTGCGCGTTTTTGGCGGTTGATTTTTTTTAATGTGAATTTGAAAGTGAAGAGAGGAAACTGTAGCTCGTTTGAAGTGAATGTGTACACAGTTTGCAAAAAATTTTTTCCGACTTCTCGTCGACAGCTTGTAGTAGAGGATTTCCTCTCGAGGCTTCGCGTGATTGACACTTTGAGTTACACCGCTGTCAGCCGTGGAATTAACATGATATTAAATATTCGCCGGTGAAATAATCGGAGCAAAGATATCGCGACTGTTTACAAGAAAAACTGCGACCCGTTCTGCGAGTACTTTTAATGTCACGTCTTGCTTCTTGTCTCTCTCTATATCGTCGTTCCTGTTTTAGCTTCATTCATTGAAGATTCTTAAGAGAAAAGTCATTAATAAGAATACTATTATGATTAATAGAATTTCTCAAATATTTCTTTTAATTCATTTAAATATTCGAGATTCTGAATAATTCTATAAAATCTAATCTTGCTGAAACAAGTCTAACAGTTAATTTCTATTATATAGACATTAGACAGATTCGTTATTTATTCGTTTATTATTAGACAGATTCTTTATTTATTCGTTTATTATTAGACAGATTCGTTATCAAAAATCATTCGTGGCCACAGATGGACTAAAAGACGGTTGACAGAAAAGGAAAGTTAAAGGTGAAGGCGAGGTAAAGGCCGGTAGATTCCCACGTGGTACGACAGACTCGGTTATTAAGCAGTTGGAGGATTCGTGTTAACCGGTGTTTAAATTACCAACGTGAACGATGGAATAAAATTTTCCAACGGATTAAGAACTGGTTTATCACATTTGAACATATTCGTTAGGTGGTAGAAAGGCGTGTTCTTACGTTTTAACGCGATTAGTCGATCTTTACCGATTCTAGAATACAAGAAACAGCATACGTAAGATTGCTGGCAAGACTTCGATTTCTGCATTACTAAATTTATTTATTGTTTAATCCGTCAGTGTATCGATGACCGAGTTTCCGGGTTCGCCTGTGAACCAACTGTTGAACGCAGCTGTGCACGCAAGGCTAGTTTTTAATTAAAATCGGAAAATCAGGTGCAACATTCGGTTGTGCGTAAATGAGGTAAGCGTTAGTTAAATAAGGAACTGTCGACGTTCGAGTCATTGTAGTAACAGTCTCGTTGTTTGCCTGAAGCATTAAATTCTGATTTATTTATGGTTCATTGAAAATGACTGCGTTCGCATTTGTAGAGGATCGCTGGCCTTAATCTCGTTTGTCGCGTGGTGCGACAATGATCCAACATTCTCAGTGAGTTTTCAAGTTGGGTATGATAATGTGAAATGATTGCAATCGGGAACTACTGTGTTCGTAATAGATGCAATAGATTCTGTTCACCTGTTATACTTATGATAATTTTATCATTTGTATTCGAACAGTAATATGTCTGAGTTATCAGACACACGAAGAACAGCATTCTTAATTGATGATGAAGGAGTTTCTGGCGATTAAACGACATTGGAAAGGCCGTCGAGGTGATAGAAAGGCGTGTGCTTACGTTCGCGACTTCTATTGGTTAATTCGGAGATCGCGAAGGAGTATATTTCCATTAAAAGAAAGAAACATATCTGTGACGCAATCGATTGGTAAAAATTCCGTTCCTCTGCAAACTAGTTTAAGTTTGCAAACTTTAAACGACAGACCATATTTCGCGGACGGACGTTAAGTATCCAAACGTAACTAGTTTTTTTGCATAAAATTGCAATTTCTTATCGCACGTTTTAATCTTTACTGACGAACGATTGTCGTACATGATTTTGTCCAGTTTCTGTCTGAACAGACGAAACTATTTAATTTACTTTTGTAAACGAGTTCTCCACCTGCACCAGGAAACTCGGCGAGCTTGGAAGCCGTTTTATCAAACGAGAATATATTTACATCAATTTGCTTATCAACGTGTACGTCAAGACCGAGTATAAATTTTGCCTTTCAGCAAGAGTAACGACAAGACGTTTACGTCACAAATCTAACGGTTCAGACATTGATAACTTCGTTAAAAAAAAATACCTTTAATGTCATAATTCAAGCATAATATACGTAATCTATGATAACAGCTAATGTTCGATCTTTTTTATTAAATATCGACAGAATTCTCGTTTTCTTTTTATTCTCTTGCGGAACGGCAATGGGGTAGACGAGTAGGGAGTCTGAAGATGAATCGGGTAATGGAGGCTAGCTACAAGCGTCGTACCGTTTCTTACAGAAATACATTATTCAGGAGGGTGGAATGATGGAAATTGTGGAGAAGCTTCTTGCTTAAAAGCACAGTTTACTGATAACAAGGGTTTCCGATTCTGTTCTTCATGAACTGTTGCTTTAATGTTATGGAGCGTAGGAATTGCAAGTGTTAGACGGTATAAATATCACATGTATTCCGTGTTTCCTTATTTCGAATGAACCGTCGAATTGATCAACAGGTGCCGTTTTCGACTTCGAGTCGGCAGTCGCGGAAAAGTAGGACACTTGAAAGGTTCAGAACTTTTCCGTTGCTAAATTATTCATTCGATAGATAAATATCGAACATATACTGGCGATTTCACAATTGCTTATTATCATTTAGAACAGAGTTTGCAAAACGATAACAAAACATCACGAGCTTACGTATACGCAAGGTCTACCAAAATAAGAATTCTAATATCGTTCTCCATTATAAGTTAGAATTGTTATCATCATCTTTAATTATATGTTAGAATTGTTATCATCATTGGTTGCGCAAGATGTATTGCATTTCCACTTTTAACACATTGCATACCGCATAGAAATCTCTAAGACATACGCGAAGGACCGTACGTTTTTGGCAAACTGCACGTTATTTAAATCATCATAGCTGTGTTGTATACCAAATGACACGTCGCTTTCTCTTCTCCTTTACTCTTTGAGTCATATTTGCAAATGTTATCCTATCTTCGCTGCATCATTTCTGAACCCTGTCCTTGCTACATCATCCCCAAATACTCACCCTGATAACTCTACCATACAAATTTTAATCCCTACCACGTAAACCAAAAAACCTATATCTTAGCCCGTTTTCCATAATTTGGGAGCACTCTTGTTCCGAACTCTGACAGACGACATTTTCAACCGCGTTAAGCAGTAATCAGGTAACCTAGGGGAAACTAACACAAACCCAAACTGGCTCAATTTCATTGTTACTGTCTGTACAAATGAATTAGGATAAAAAGTAAATTAGGAAAAAACTTAATGTGCAGTTGCTTCTTTATTCTAAGTAGATTTTTGTTAAATGGTCTCTTCTTATCGTTTCCGTTTCAGGGAGGATGTCGAAGTCGGGGAGCATCAAGGATGGCGAGAAGGGGCCGTACGACCCGGTTCCGACCGCCGACAAAGGCAACGAGGAGATCAAGCTCGAGGCGAAGATGTCCCTCTTGAACGGCATCACCGTGATCGTGGGATCCATTATTGGATCTGGCATATTCGTTAGCCCGACCGGCGTGCTCAAGAACACGGGGAGCGTGAACGCGAGTCTTCTGGTGTGGACAGCTTCCGGCATCTTCTCCACGGTAGGTTCTCTTCACGCGAATTCATGATTGTTTCTGTTCCACTTATTAAGACACATGAAACTACGGCGTACCGTTACCATTAGATCTATTCCTTGACCAGTCATCTAGCTATGATATTCTCAGTATGTAATTCAGTCTGTAATCTAGTCTGATTCAACCCGATCAATCTGTTTCGTAAATGATACGAAAGATCCAACGATCAAGCAGAAAATTATGTAATGTATGAAAAGATTTTGCTCCATCTTAGCTGTTCTCAATTTGTTGATCGGTTCCAAAGTCTTATAAATGTTAATTTATTGAGTAGCCACGTTTCAAAGCGATTGCTCGTTGGTTGCACGACAGGTAGGCGCGTACTGTTACGCGGAGCTCGGTTGCATGATCAGAAAGTCAGGCGCCGATTACGCGTACATCATGGAGACCTTCGGACCTTTCCTGGCGTTCATCAGGCTCTGGGTTGAGTGTATGATAGTGCGGCCTTGCAGCCAAGCCATCGTGGCCTTGACTTTCAGCGTTTACGTGCTGAAGCCGCTGTTCCCGGACTGCACACCCCCGGACGACGCCACGAGGATACTCGCGGCATGCTGTATATGTGAGTGATTACTTTCCTTCTTATATATCTTAATAAAGATTGGTAGAATCTTTGTTAGAGGATTATTTATTCTCACGAAGATTAAGCTTCGAGGCTCCGGTTAATTGACGCGACGTTAGAAACCTCTACTGAGAACGATCAGATTTTAAGATTGTTCCAAGAACACCATAGAGACTGTCCACCGCAAATTGAATGTCTCTCCTCCGTTGTCATTCATGACCAGCCTCGACTAATCAAATTAGTTTCCCTCTACTTTATTGTTATTCATCTTTTTAACCACCTCTTGACTCGGCTCCTTTTAACCAATCTCGTACGAATTAATTTCTCCGGGCAACCATTGATATACCGCCGGTCCTTAAACTTCCGTTCTAATAAATGTAATATAAAATAAATACGTCGTATTAAAGAGGAGCTTTCATAATTTCTCTTTTAATTGTAAGATATGAGAGTTCGTTGAATGTACTATTTTAATTCTTAGAAAATATTTATTAAAACTCCGTGGGAAACTTGAAGATTTATAAGAGACGAAGTACACAAGTCAAGGTGTTCTCCGGGGAACGAATTACGTGCAGCTATTCTTGACTCCTTAGAATTCTTCTGTTCGAAGAAATCGGTAATATCCTAATGGTCCACGGATTTATATCCTCGCCTCGTCCTTGGTCATTTCTTCCACAGAGGAGAATTTCTCATTGTTGATGCCGTCCTTCGGAAAGCTTTCGAGAAGCTAAATGCTGCGGCTTGTTACGCGAACAATTTGTAATTCCCTTAATAATTCTAGCCTTGGAACCTAGTTTCCCTGTTTTTCTCTCGAATGATAGTACGTCCCATGGCGACTCGGAAGAACGTTGTTCCCTCTTTTTAATAAATCCTCCGGGAAATCTTGGCCTCCCATCGTCGTCCAAGAATTAATCAAGTGGGATTTCAATTATTTCGAGTTCGATCGATTGCCAATCAATATCTTGTTAGATTGTTATCTACCGTTTCATTTTTCGCAGACAATACAAAGCAAGGAGACGCTTTGAAATGAAACGTTGATTTAAAATTTATGATGATGTAATTCTACCTCCGAAATACATCAGAGTTAATCAAACATTTGTTACCGGCTGATCGATGGCGAAACGCCGGTTCGAGCTGGAATTTGCAATAATCGCAAGCAATGACGATGACCTTCGAGCGTTTGCTAATATTTTATGCGAACAAATGTGCTATTACGTTGCACGTAAGAACGTTCCGTTTCTTTTTTTGCTCGGTACGCTATTCGCTGAAAAAATGATCTCGAACGATCAAGTATCGTGCCGGAACAATCGGACTTTCCGTGATGCCATGAATCATTGAGGGAAACACGTTACGTTAGGCCGAGTAACGTAATGAAATTGTGTCATGAAATCACGTACTGTTTTTCTCCATTTTCAATGAGAACAAATGTCTACAAGGATTTTATCTTAGGCTTCAGTTTCGTTTTTGCTTATTATTTCAGCGGCCGGAAATTATTTATCGTGTCATTATTCTGCATACGCCGCTTCTCCTCGACTCCAGACTCCCGTTAGGCTATTTCCTAACACTGTGAAAGTACGGATTTATTTGAACCTGCAGAAAATCTAACTACAAGAAGGGGAAAACAGAACAAAAATAATTTCTGTGTGTATGAAACGCGTTCCGTTTTTCCCCGCGCGAACAGGAATACCGTTAGTCGATCGGATCCCGCAGGACGAGCGGAAAAAACGTATTTTTCGGGGATCACAGGGAACGACCACAGAGACGGTATCGCGTTCTTGCGGTCGCCGGTGTCCTTCCGCCATAAAACCTCCGCCTTATAATATCATTTTACAGTACGTGCTGGCAAAAATATTTCATTCTTTTATTCAATTTTCTTGCGAACAAAGCGTTTCGATTGCTTCGGCTCGCGACGGACGAGGAAAACATAAATAACTTTGTTTCGCTTCGTTTGCGGAACGTGTCTCACGATTTCTTGCTTAATGAAAGGTATGCGTCGTCTAAGTTTCGTAATGCAGTTTCAAGCAATTGCGTATATTGCAAATTTTTTAACAAACGCCCTTCAACGTGGCTCGTTCGATGTCGAACGTTGACAGCAAGCTGGATTTTAATCCCAACTTGATCTTCTCATACTTTTTCGTTAAGATTAATTAGCAGACTTAATTACAATCACGTGAGCGTAATTTCCTGGCAAACCGGAAGCGAATCTCGCCAGAACCGCGCCTTGTCTCACGATGAATGTAAGAGGCTGGAACAGCGAATCGGATTTTCCGATGGCGCGAAGGAAACGAGTTCCGTTTAATTTCCGAGAAGCAAAGGAAGAACGCGAAACCACTTTCGGTCTCGAAACAGTTCTTACAAAGTCAGATCATTACAGATTCCGCGTTCTTATCCTTTAATTATCTTGGAACTGAGTTTCGCTTCAATCTTTAATCGCGAGTTCAGGAAACAAGTTTGAAGGAGTCATGAATGTCTCGCCTTTTCGACTGTCCAGTTTTCTTCGTCGAGCTTTATTTCTATCATTACTTCATCGAGGCCACTTGTAATAGTGTTGCAGATAAAGATGAATTCCCAGAATAAGACAGCACAGTTGATGAAGATCAATAATTAAGTCCAAGGGAAATCCAGTCGATTTAGCATGACGTTACTCGTATCACAGCAGTATCGTCGCACATGCACGTCACATCTTTAAACGATTTTTCTCGACGCGCCAAGTATACTTAATCGTAATCATTAATTCAATCGTTAATCATACAACAGAACAAAAGAAAGCGTATTCCGTTTTTGCCGTTGTGATTCTTGAAGAGATAAACTGCGCTGCGAAAAGAAGGCATTGACATCGGCCGAGACCTGAGCAGCATCGATATATCGGCCAGCGGACGATTCGATCGGGCCTGGCGTCGCCGGAGGACGCGCCGGCGGCGGTCAATACCGAGTGAAAAGGCTGCGCCAGCAATCACGTCCCATTGCGATTAAACGTAATCTTCTAATAACGTGTCAACTGACGGCCGCAACAGCATAATTCGTCGAAGGGGGCTCCCGGGGTGAGCGAAGAGGAATCAAGATAGCAGACAAAAGAAGTGGAAGTGATGTTTAAGAACGGGACTCTCAAGACGCTCGCTCTCATCTTATCACAATATATCACCTGGTCGACGAAACGTATTCTAATTCATAAGAAGCTTCTGACAGTTGATATTATATAATATAAACAATACGAATTTATCAATATAATTTGTAATTACGAGATGATCACCCTAATTACCATAATTTAAAAAATGACTTGATTAATTTGCAATAAATATGGAATCGTCCTAAGTCCTACGAACTCGGACGATTCCATCGTAATTCCTAGCGTATTCGTCGCGAAAACTATACAAGGGACTCGAATTGCGAAAGACGGCACTAGCGAAGAGCCGAGAAAGGAGGAACAGCCGGTCGAGGGGGGGGAAGGGCGGAAAGTCTCGCGATATTCTTCGCGATGTTGCGTCAGACATTTCTTGCTTTTCTTCGTTAACAAGCCAAGGACAAGGTGGAATCCTTTTTTCCTGACCGTGCAAGAACGCGCGTTTCCCTACCAGGACGAATTCATTGTCCATTTCGATGGTATTTCGACATTTCATTTACCAGGTCAACCGAAAGTAAATACTTTCAAGGAACGCTCTCGATTCGAAATAAAATATGTAAATTAAGCTCATCGATTTTTGAAGCTACTGAACTTTAATTTCACTTCATGGCTAGTTAGAAATTGCAAGCTTATTAAAACGTAATTGTGTCCAGTTTAATACTTTTATAGTGCAATTGAAACTGCGTGCATGTATCGTACGTAAAACAGTCACATAATCACTTTAAAGAGAGTCATGGGACATTGAAAGTGCAAAATGTCTTGCCGATTGCGTCAGAACATTGGCGCACTGAACGAACGGCATTAAAAGTAGGTCTAAATGTAAAATCCTCCTTTCGCTACAATTTCCCCTAATACGGAATGTCTATAACGCGGTTTTAATATTTTATTTAACGAATCAGACGTTCGCTCAATATTGAAACTAGGCTCGAGCCTGGCTATGACTATTAAGCTAGATACGAAGAGCACCTGTTTTCCCGTTTGCCAACGAGCAGGTCGATAGCCATCCACGGTCGATTCCACCCCTAACGTCGCCGTCATGGTTGGACTGGTGCCAATTAGTCTGAAACGCTAGCTTCTGACTGTGACCTGTACGCGACCGGTTCCGCGCAATAAAATGCGGCTCTATACTAGTTCGCTGGTGCAAATGAATAGTTCGCTGACTACTTAAGTGCGTACAGGGTGCGTAAACGGTTAGACATATTCGAGACAAGAGTCGTTCGTTTTACTCGAGTACCATCCAGTTACGACATTGTTGTTACTAGGGTAACACAAGTAGTGCATAGTGCGTTTATCTACCCTAATCTCCTTTGTTCTCGATTCGACCGCGATACTTTTTTTATTAGCACTTTTCTGTAGAAACGTTGTTGCTTCTACTGTCTGCATTCTAATAGCCTCACTCCAGTTACATTTAGCGTTCGATCTAAGATTAAGATTAACAAAAACTTAACATAAATTCCGTGAGATATCTTGATCGGTGAATAATGGTAAACGGAACTTAAGTGCACGTGTTCGTGCATCGTTCGTTGTAATCGTCTTTGTGATTAACGTTTATCAACCAGACTGTAATATAATGAACATGAGAGTTTGGTAAATTGATAGTCGCGTGGCATCGTAGCGTGCTGGTGCATTTGATTTATTAAGAAAGAACGCGTTCACTGGCTTCTCTGATTAATTCTGCTGATCAGTAAATCTAATTTAACGCGAGTGGGAATTAATCAACGCCTACGAATTTACTTATCGCGACTGACGGACGTTTGTTTGATAAATTTTTTTTAGGTATCCTGGCGTTCATTAATTGCTGGGACGTGAAATGGGCGACGAGAGTGCAGGACATCTTCACGTACGCGAAGCTGCTGGCCCTCTTCATTATCATTTTCACCGGGGCTTATCAACTATTCACTGGTGAGTTCAATGACTCTTGCAGTTTATCTTCTGCTTAGGATAGGTTCATTCTTTTTTCGATATAAAAAGGTGAAACCATATCGAAAGTAGAGCTGTTCGCCGTCGACTCGACTTTCTCCGTGTAAATTGAGTTTCTTTTGTGATCCGGGAGAGGCAAGAAAGTTCCATTTTCGCCCCGTCATTGTTAATAAAGAAGAGAGTTTCTTCGAACGGTCTGTTAGAAATTGTATCGATATTCCAGGAATTCTTTGGACGGAAAAAAAAGTGGCTCGACGAGCTTCGGCGAGCTTTACAATTTTCTACGGTTTCATTCATTTAATTAGAACAATTTTTTTTATCTCTGATGCTCTTCAAGACGATTAAACTGTTTGTCACTCGACTCGCGATCTAATCTCGAAGTCTGTCGTGCGAACGTGGGACGTGAAACTTTGCGAACGGAAGCGTAAAAGCTGTATATAGTTCCCGTGTCGAGTGTTCCCATCGTTTGTTTCGAGTTAAACGCAATAAGCTCGACGGCAATTTCTTGAGCAAGAACTCGCGGAAGCTCGCGTTAATGTTACACCACCCACACCACCCTTGACAGAGCCAGTGTAAGACCGTTAGGCGTCTTTTCACTTGCCGGACGAGACAATTTGCCCAATCAAAAAGGTGGGTTAAGGGCGCTTTAAGGACGATTCGAAGCGCACCGGTGCGGTGCCCGTGCAAGAAATCGCTTAAATTGACCTATTCACTGCGCTCGAATGGCACTCCGTACGATTGAATTATCGACCTGAGAACTCCTTTTGATTTCAACCAGCGTGAGAATTTACTGCAAACTCGAAGAAGGAAGATCGAGAGACACGCGCGGGTTTACGACGTTCCAGTTTCTTTTTATCATATCTAATTACGATCCATTAAATTTTTAATTAAATTCTACACTCGGGAGTTCGTTAGCTCCGTTAGCTCGTCGTGGCAGTTTCTCCTGGAACATTGCGAAACGTATGTGTATGGACGCATTCCTCGGAATGGCTAACGATGGCTGATCGATCACTTTCATCCGTATTTTGCAGGGCACACGGAGCATTTCACGTTCGAAAACACGAACACAGAAGTGACGTCGATAGCACTCAGCTTTTATTCGGGACTGTTCGCTTACAACGGTTGGAACTACTTGAATTTCATCATCGAGGAACTGAAGGACCCTGTCAAGTAAGCTGCTGATAAGTCATTTCACTGAACGGTTAAAAAAATATCGCGGCTTTAATATACGTACAATGGAAATTGCTATGATATACACATTGAGGTGATAATGCATGAAGTATACTTGCAATTATTATTTTTGCAAGATCTTCTATTTAATAAATAGAACGAAGGTTGAAGAGATCGGTTTTGTAATTATAAATGTTATCGATGCGGTTTTCAGAATCAGCGTGAAAATTATTTAAACAAAACGTGTACGGACTCGGGCGGAGTCTCGTGCAATGATTGACAGCGATTGCAACAGCCAGTATTGTGTATCTATTAATTAAGAAGCTGTGGAGGGTCGTAGTAAATCTTTTATTGACTTGGACACGAGGTCAACCGAGGTTCTTTACTCCGCGTACAAAGAACTATTTAGGGTCAAATATTTTGAGTACTCAGCAAATTTTCCATCGAGTTCTCGTTCCGTCCGCCGCAAACTAAAATCCCAGTTGTGTAAATCAAATCCGAGACTGTCAATATTGTATTTTCTTTTATTCCTTTAGAAATTTGCCGAAAGCCATTGGGATCTCATGCATCCTTGTTACTCTTGTCTACGTTTTCGCAAATGTGGCATTTTACACGACGTTGAGTCCGGTGGAGGTTCTCGGGAGCGAAGCTGTCGCGGTGGTAAGTTGGCTTTCGCTCCAGTGAAAATTTACAAATCTGAATCGGTCGTATAAAGAATATTTTTACAGACATTCGCGAATCGTCTGTTCGGTATGTTCGCGTGGGTAATACCCGTGTTCGTGGCCCTGTCGACGTTTGGCGCCGTCAACGGAATTCTTCTGACGTCCTCGAGGCTGTTTTACGCCGGCGCCTGCGAGGGCCAGATGCCTGAGATACTGACAATGATTCAAATTTCGAGGCTCACCCCTACGCCGGCCGTCCTCTGCATGGTACAGAACGACTTTCCAATTAATTTACCACTCGAATGCCGTTCTAATTAATTTAGAACTCGTTTAGAAAAGTGTTTGTGCAATTCTCGGATCGAATTGCGGTCTCTTATTTATCCTCCGAAGTAAACGGGATTCTTTAAGAGCACTGTTGACACTAAAGGATTGAGAAAAGTAAGCAGCATTGAAACGATTGAAATTTCATTTCCATTACAGGCTCTGTTATCCATGGTGTACCTCTGCTCTTCCGATATCTTCGCTCTCATCAATTACGTTGGCTTCGCTACTTGGGTATGTGACTTCCACTGTATACATTCTATTTTTATATCATTATCGGTTTACATCCAACGTAATCGTTAAAAGTTATTTGTTCGATTCGTTGAAACAATGATAGAAATTGTTTTCACAGTACGCTAAAAATTGTCTCTCGTTTCAAGAAATGCATTGAATCAAAACCATTATTCAGGTTTAGTACTTCGCGCGATGTCTCTAATTAATTCCATATTATAGATTCATTGTATTATTTTTCATTATATGGACGTATTATTCGACTTTATAGCGGATCGTAAACGCGACTATCTTGTCACATCGCCTGACCTTGTCACGACATCTTGTAGTTTAATCATCAAGGAATTAATAAAATGTAACTACTCACTTTTGACCGATAATTTTTTGCAGTTGAGCATAGGCGTATCTGTTCTCTGCTTACCGTGGCTCAGATGGACGCAACCGAACTTGCTCAGGCCGATTAGAGTGAACCTTTTCTTCCCTGTAATTTACATTCTCGCCACCCTCTTCGTAACGATCGTGCCTATGTACGCTAGTCCCGTGGAAACAGGTAAATAAAAAAAATCCTCTCCTTAAGATTAATTAGATAATTGAGAACTGATTCTTTTTCAGGGTACGGTTGCTTGATGATCCTCTCGTCTATACCGGTGTACTTCGTATTCGTCGTGTGGAAAAATAAGCCGAAGTTCTTTCAAAAAGGAGTCGGTAAGTACAAATTACAATTCAAGCTTCATTTAATAATAAAGAAGTATTGATTTGTCGATCAGAAAGAATATTTGAGTTTCGTATTATCCTCTTTGATCCAGTTTCGACCAAAGACTAGCTGAATTTTATTAAACCCATAAAGTTATTAATTTTTATTTTTACTAAATTTTTATGTTTCGTTTCCGTTTAACAACAATCTGTTCCCGCAGGCGCCGTTACCAAAACATTGCAGAAGATGATGGTAGTCGTCGGACCAAAGACTAAGGTTCAAAACAGAGAAGATACACTATGACATAATTTAACTCTTTTCATATCACGCATGCTTATCAATCGTTCATTTTTCTCATTGAAATGCTTCTTCCTCCTCGATCATTATGCATGCAGATTATTACTTTCTTCGATATTTCACCGGCACTGTACAGACTTATCTTTCATCAAATATTTTAGTTCTCTAACTTCATACAAGAATCGCGTCAGAAGAAAACGTGACACGATGTTTCGGTCACATTCACCGTTCAGTAAATTACATTTGACGAACAATGCTTTAACTTAAGTTCGCTGAAACATTGTTCAACTTTACGTTTGCATGCTGCACTCACAACATGATCAGCACCACGCACACTGACTCGTACAGTGCTGTTAATTAATGGCGCACCCGTAAAGATTGTAACTCAAGTGTCACTAATCACAGAGCTAATTACCCAGAAGAGTCCGACTGCTCATTTAATACGACTTAAAGCGTGTTGTCGTTAGTTAAACCGATAGATTGAGTTTATGTCGCGACTTAACGACGTCGCGTAATAACATTTACATCTATTACTGATCTCTCCCCTCTCTAGAACATTCAAGGGAGACCGAGAGATTGAATTTAAAAATTGTTGTTCACAGTAAGCGTCACGAAGTTCCTGCAGAAGATAATACTGGCCGTTGGCAAGTCGAAACCCGCTCAGGTTTAAACCACACTCTGAATGGTTCTTAGTCTTCGCAACGATGACTTCCAGCCACGAAAGAATCAGATGTATATTATTAAGACACTCGGAAAACGTTTAAGGAATACGCGATGAATTCGATTTCGAGTAGTAATAATATTCGTCGTTTACGAGAAGGTGAAAGACGTCCTGATCAGAGGCAGCCATATCGAATTAGGACGCCTGCCAGTAAATAGTTAGCTGATTCTGCTATTCAAATGTCATCCTTGTTAAAATTTTCGCGGCAATCGATCATCGGCTCCAGCGAAGATAATGACCACAAGAAAAAGAATGTATTTTAACATAAAAAAAAACGCAAATCTTCGCTGGACACGTGAATGCATTCAAATCTCTCTGATAACTTGACAGAGACATTTTATTGTTACTATATCCGTTTTATCGCATATCGCATCAACTCCATTCTCGTGATTCGACCCTTCGTTTCGAGCATTTCGATGTTAACTTTCGACTAGAAATAGATATTTTAATTTATAGAATGTTTCTAGCTTATTTATTAACACGGCGTTTGACTTAAAACAATTCACGTTCTGTCCGTAAATTTCGATTCGTTATAAAACGGGGGGTAATTAGAGAAACGAAGGGTGGAAATATCGCAACGTGTTGGCACTCGATCGCATAATATAATAATCGTGTTTTACTGCCACTGTTGTTGGCGCGTGCATCATAAACGTATACAATAGAATCGCGAGATTTTCGATTCTTCATCGAATCAAGCGAAGAACAGACAGTCAGTCGACTGACTCTGGCTAGACGAGTTTATTTCGTTCGATTCTCTTCAGATCTTCGAGCGCGGATTTAAGTTGTCGATAATTTCGTCGCACGTTCGTGCGACACGGAGCAAGCTTACGACCGTACGAATTTAGGATTTTTATACTTTTTTAAGTGTAATCTAAGATTCTTAAGACAATTTTAGTCCGTTTCCTAGTATCCCTGTTTCTTTTTATCATTCCTTCTTCTTTTGTCATGTATGCGTGCGGGGTGAATGTCTAAGAGATATGTTGTAAAATATCGTGGAAGATTCTCTTTCAACCGTGCATGGTATGAATTTTAATCTTCGTCTTATAGAATAATGTCACAGAATAAAATTTATAAATTTTTACCATAATTAGTTTTAGATACTTTGCGTGTTTCATTATGCTAGATTCGTGGTATTAGAAAATTAGTTGACCGTTCATGGCCAGGTCTCCCCATTCTCACTTCATACAACCTTAACTATTTTACATGTAAAACCATTCTTTTTGTACTCGATGAAAAATATATGGGGTACAATTGAATAGATCAAGAGAGCAGCTTATGGCTTCGTACAAAATTATAACATTACCATGATGTTGAAATTGACATAATTTTTTCATCGACATCTTAACTGTCCGAAATTTTGTACACTTTATTCCTAATTTATATTCAACGTTTACAATGAATCAGAGAAACAACTGTTTGTAAATGATAAAGAAACAGTAAATTGATTAAGACCTCAAGATGCACGTTGAGAATTGCGGACTGTGCAACGAGGAAGTTACGGAATCCAACAGATACGAAGTTTTCCTTATTTATTAAACGTCAGAGGAAAATGAAAGGAGCGGAACGTCAGGCAGCTCGCGAGATTGTCTTGTAATTTAATTGATCAAGTGCGAACCTTTTAAGACTTAACGATTTATCTCATCCTCATCGGCAATGAACGTCATTGCTCACGCGTTGTGATTTTTATTTATCGTAGTTATTCGAGTCGTAGTCAGTTTCGATCTTTAATGCCACTTTTTTTAAACCGACTGTTGACGCACGGATTTCTCGATTACAATATTCTCTTTCTCACGGGTGTAATCATTTTTAAAGATACGAAGTGTGATGCGACAATTATACAGTCTGCTTGACTATCCTGACATATCGAAAGAACATCACAATTTTCCGTCATTTTTATATACATTCCTTTTTATTAGTCTTAAAATATTTGCATTATTGTCGCATTTTTTAAAACTTGTCTCCACACAATTTTCCTTCTTGCAAAAGAAGGAAAACGACCCGTGAGGCAAATCTCGTATTAAGATTTTCAATGAACAGAAGCCTACGGAAATTTTCAATGAAATTTCAGCATATCGAAAATTGTTCTAGGACCAAAAACATATTTTTTCAGAAAGCGTTTTCTTCCGGGACCCGATTTTGATTAATTGCAGAAATGTCCTGTTGCGTCCATACATAGCATTCATGATAATTTAATTACTTTCATCGGAGCTCGCAAATCATGGCGATTCGTCTATCGTTATCCTTTCCGAAGGATAAGGAAATGGAGAAATTTTAAATTTCAAACAGTCGCTGTATGCTCAACATTTTTTCCAACCAGCGATGCTCAGTATACCGAAATATTAGAACAGTATTAATTGTGGACTGATTCAGACAATACTTTACTTCTAATTTTTATGTAATTTTATTATAACGAAAAGGACGAATCGTCAAAACTCTACATCATGATTAAACTGAGGTTTCCCGTCTTAACTATGTGTTTGTATTCTTTATGGAATACATTTCATTATTCACGTCAAACAATTAAAAAAAAAAAAGAAACAGTGATCAGGGTGTCTATCGATGCATGGCCTATCGATCCTGAGATAGTCTTTACAAACATATTTAGAAAATCGAGCAGATAGTTGTGATATTTCAAATACTTTATACAAGTTCTTTGAAATCAGAAGAGATGTGAAAAGTTGAAGAATTTAAAGTGAATTACGTTCTCTTAAATCTGAAGCCTATTGATAATATGATTAGTAAAATTCTAAGATTCTGAATAATTTAAATAATTTTATAAATGATTTAAATAATTTGATATTAGAGGCAAACATGAATTATTGTATGTTTCTACAACGAGAGCATTAATAGGCACTCTGACACACGTGACAATAAGCATCTACATACTAATTAAGTATTAAGGAGTAACTAAGGTAAAAGAGGAGAGCGTTGAAGTGTTCGCCAAAATTCGGCTTTTTTTTAATTATATTTTTATGTTTGCGTAATACTAGCACGTACTTGAAATGGTTTGCGAAGAGAACGAAAAAGAAGCGGAGGAACCTGTTTGAACACTTTAATCTTAAACAGTCTCGATTCCGATTCCCGATGGACCGTGGTTGCGTCGTTTTTCTCTAGACTCTTGCACTCGTTCGTGAATTAGAAGTGCAATGAAAGAGAAGGCGGTATTATTTTTATATTGTACATAACGAGTATGAAATTTCTTTACACGATGTAAAAATAAAAATAGGAGAACTAGATAATGAAAAGTATAAAAATAAATCTTGTAGAAGAAGAAATTAGAAGAATTATAAAAAGTAATTTACAATAACAACAGATGATTAAAGAGTATTGTGAAATAAAAATGCTGCAACCACGTCTATGATTCTTAGACAGAAATTTTTGTCGAAACGAATGGAAACGATTAGAAAAGAAACAACATGAAAAGCAGTAGCTTAGGATCTATTTAGATGAGAGAGAAAGGAAACGAGAGATCTTATGGGACGAGCAAACTGTGACAATATATTATATTGTATAATATACTGTTGTTCAAAATATTTTAAAACCCACTTTCTTGTCCCTTATCATCAGATTAAGCAATCCTATCGCTCATTGTGCTAGTAAAATACAGAATGAAATTTGTAATTTAATTAAGAGAATATCCCTTGTGCATTGTAGTTTTTCTTTTTAGATTTAGACGTTCCAAAATAAACCCATACTTCTACAGAGTCTTTTATTAAAATAGCCCTGCTGCCCTATCTATACCTTCCCAGATTTTTCTAAATTTTCGTTTATTGCCAAAAACTGCTTACTTGTAGCTGCTAGTGAAAAATGTTTGAAACGAAAATTGTGAGTACCATGGAAAGCTACAAGTTTCGTATGAAACATTTTTTTTTCTATCATCAATAGTTAACGAGTATTTTACAATAAACTGTTTTTTCGTTTTTTGTTAAATACTTGTTAATTATCGACATTAGCGAAAGATGGTTCAGACAAAAATTGTAATTGTAGTTGTCAGCTACAAATACCTACACTGAGTTTCGCTATTTCTTAATACTGCAAGTTTTTATTTATTACAAAAAGGACTATTTTGGCAATGTCTGTGTACCCACGGAAACTTCGCTATTTCAGTACTCCGCGCTTCGACTGCTTCGACTTGCGGACTTTAAGTCCACGCTTCGACTAACAATAAGGGACATCTAGCGTGTATTAGAAAAACACGCGAAGTAGATAATCCAAGTACTTCATCGTCTGCATTTTTTGTAATAGTAAATCTACTTAAGAGAGTCTCTTTACGTGCGGCGACATACGATCGTTGATTGAAATGGCTGGCCGATGAACATTAGGCAACCGCGTTTGACATTTGATAATGAAGCATTGAATTACTTACATAGATCTCGGGGTCTTAAGCATGGATGTTAAATAAATATCGTTTTAACTTTGTTGCGTATAGACTCGATTTGTTGTTCTCAATCGAATTAAAAAAATGAAGGGTATTTTAATCTTCGATCACCTGAACGATGTTCTTTTCACGAAGTGCAACAAAAAATTCGCGAATCACATTCAGAAACTGGCAAAAATTCAAGGACTAATTTCCGAAAACAAGGTATGCTTCTATCTCATATTTAATAAAATTATACAGAGTGATTTTATTTCATCGCTCTTACCGAAGCATAACAAGAAAACTTTTAGCTAAATGCGGAATATTAAATGTACAGAAGTATACAAATTTGCCAATTAATTCTACACAGGATGCAGTCGAGGATTCCAAATTGAACCCAAATATAATAATGCAATTATTTTCACCTATCGTCACATCGCAATATGTGATGGCCTCTCAGTTTGGAAATTCTTACACCTCTATGAAATGTCATGATGGCACGAACATGGTATTCGACGAATTTATGGGATACACTTTTATTTATATCTCGACAGATGACGTGAAATTAATGAAAAGAACGTTAGGCGTATGCGTAGCAATTGTAAGGCACGTTTGTGGACCAGATGTTGCAGTGTAAGTTAAAATGTTACCTCAGACACGTGTTTTATGCATTGATGAATGTTATGGCAAATGGTATTATTTCAGATTAAAAATAAACAGACAAAAAGTCTGTTTGGTCTCCTCTTTATTGGATGCATGGGCGCATCTGAGGAACATTGAACAGAGTATGCTCACAGAGGCAATTGAACAATTATCGATCAATACAGACCTGGGTGTAGCAATATTAAAAGTATTACACGATGCCTGCGATAAATTAAAGGCACAATCCGAATTTTCGAATGTACACATTTTAATACTGGTGGAACAGAAGTTTCTTTCGTTGTACTCTAGTAAGAATGCACGCGATTTGTATCCCTCTGATATATTGCTGATGATGCTTCTTTGCTGGGTAGTAAATCAGAAAAGAAAAGGAGATACCCAGTGTGAAACGAATGACAATGATGAGGTCAGAACTGACATTCTTTTACCTGAAACTAATTGCTCCAAAGAGGAGCAAATAACTTTTGGAGCCAAGCTTGCGAATCCTACTTCGGAAGACATCACAAATTTATTTAGTACGATTTTTATTACATATGTTTAGGATTGATTAAATTTTCTAATGTAGATTGGTAATACTAATTAATTTCTCGTAGGAGGATCAAGAGAATCTTCTATCAATGAAGGTCTTCATTCTCTTATGGATGATGATTTGTACAGCAATTTGATTCTACTTGGAACCGTGCATGACTATACCGCTAATGCAGTTCACATTTTCGAATTAGCTGACGGGATTAATCTCGTTATGATCGTTGAAGTTACTAATCTTGCAACGTCATCGGGATTATACGATAGTTTCCATTATCTGAACATCATAAATGGTTTGCAACTTCAAAGGGATATTGATGAATTGAGGCCAGCATTTGAAAACTTCGATGCAGCAATGAAAAAAGCTTTGGACGGGATTAAGAAGAACAGAGCTAATGTCAGTAACGACGTCGACATGTGTCAAAGGAGATTACAAACAAAGTGGGAATTCGTTCGGAAGAAATACATGGATTTACTGAAATCCAGAGACCCGGAGTCCATACTTCAAATCGAATCTAACACCTCGGGATTCACGGATAATTTGAAAGAATTGTATCGATTAACGTGTTTCGACAAGAACTTTTTGAAACAAGGTGTTGACGTGCTGACGACGGTGGGAAGGCTTGTTCGTCAGAAATTAAATGATTTCAGCGATTTCCTTAAAGTAAAGGCACTGAAGAATTTTACTCTTGGATCATATCCTTTTACAACTCTTACTATTCTTTTTGTTTTCTTTGAAAACTTAAGTACGAAATATACGTCCTTAATACCATGTAATCTACGAGAACTTCCCTAACCATCAACAAATATCTAGAAGAGTTTCCAGGCCTCGTGCATTTCATTTACATAGACAGAGCTACTCACCGAATGACCGCTCCGACTTTAGACTTCACGAACCCAGAAACCCTGGCTCTAACAACGAAAAAGGTAATCTACCAAAATCTGGGGCAGCTGGGATCGACACGTTCTACTTAAGAAATATTTGTATAGATCTGGAACATGGTTAAACAAAGCAGGATGCATTTAAAGGAAGGACACTTGTCCGTCATGTGGAAAGATACCACCTTCAATTACGCTTATTTTTTATGGTTTGAAGATAGTTCTGTAAGTGAACAGCTATAAAGTAACAATCATTAATAGCCACGTTGTTATTGATGTAATGTTTTACAGGGTTCGGCATTAAAGTGTAACGTTTACCTGAATCATTTAATGAAAAACTTTCCGATACCGGGTATTTTCTGTGGCGATTTTTACAGGTTCGTACTACTGAAAGTTACGTCTCCTGAATTCTTAGTTGATTTATTCCATAATATTGCAGGAAGTTGGCGGAGACGTGTTTCCCGAAGGTATCTGCGAATAAAATCAGGATTTACGAACTTTATTGCGTTCATCTCGGTTTGGCAACGTCATCGTGTGTGTTGGAACACTCGAGGAGACTCGCGGCTACGATATGGGAAGTCACAGGAGTTCCAAATAATCCTGCTGACATACTTTAATTACATTCCTTTGAAGTATTCATGAACTGTGAATGATAAAGCCTGATATTACGAAAAGCTCGAATATCTTACAGTTATAATATTAAAAAAAATTATTATTTATGAAATTTTTAATTATTTACAAGTACTTAATACATGTATTAACTTGTTAATTATAAAAGATGATAATGTAAAACATTTGTATTCATTTAACACATCAAATAATGCTTAAATCTAATGGCACGCAATCAGAGAAATTTAAAAAAAGCTGAAAAAAAAATTAATGCATATTTCGTTAAGCTCCAGTGGAATTTTGTTTGCTTAGAATGATAGAGCGTTAAAAATATTTCAGAACATATATTATGTAAACTCAAATAAAACAGAACAAAAGCCCCTCAATGCGAGAGAACGTTTAATATGAAAAGCTCACATGAAAAAATAATTTAATAGTTCAGTCTATAATTATAATGTTCACTTAAAAATGTTTAAACGACATTGTGAACACAACGCGAAAGTTTTGTTTAATATTCTTATAAGATTCAAATTTAATAGACTAGCCTTGCATACAGCACAGATGCAGTCAGCTTATTCATATTTTAAAGTATATAAATATTTACAATTATTTAGGTATGAGCATAGCACAAATACTCTACAACTTCTTTTGACGTCTCTCCTCCCCATAAAATGCTCTATATTTTTAAGTAATGTAAGAATCTAATTTTTCTTGAGTATGTGACTGTATGGTGGACTGGAAGTAGTAGTTTTTTGTACATTGTTTGCCTCAGGTGATTCTCGTTGTTGCATTTGCATACGCGAAATTCGTTCGCTGGTGCGGGTAGCAAACGGACCAGCAGTGGTCCTAGTTTTTTTTCCTCCTTGATACTGACCGTCAGATATCATTTTACCCCTACCTCTTCCGATGCCGCATACATTTTTTTCACCTTTACAAATCGACTCTTTCACAATTTCGGACTCCATTTTGGAAAAACATCTATTTCGTGACGTACTTTCCGTAACGTTGACTGTCACTTCTTCATTGGAATTTAAAGGTGGAGTTTTCGGAATCAGACTGTTCGTCATATCCGCATTCACCCTCCTTAATGTGCTTTGATTAACGTTCTTTTCTATCTGTGATACCGGTGTATTTCTCAGTTTAGGAGTAGTATTCATTTGGCTCTGTAAAAAGAAATTATAATAGAGTAACCTTCGCAAAAATATGAAGAACTATCTGAAGATTGCATCGCACGTACAGGGGCAGGTGGTGGTGTGGAACGATCTTTGAACATAGGACATTCAGTGTGGTTATAATCTGGACACTCTTCAAGGTCGTCAGTTCCTTCCACGTTATTCGAATTGCCATTAACTTTTATCTTCTTTTTACGTTTGAATTCCTTAATTTGCCTCTCAAGCTCTGTCACCTCGAAATCAGATTTACATAACTCGGGTATTAATTTATTTAAATGCTGTTCAGCAGCTTTGTGTATAATAGTAGCGGATTCGACCCCAGACGTTCTTGTTAAATCCAAGCTGAAAATGAAAAGCGACACTTTCTCATATTTATGTAACCCTCCAGGATAATCGAAATGCATATTATTATGAAATCAAATATACTTTAAAGTTTCTATGAGCTTCGCAAATGCATCTGGAACATCTGACGATTTATTTGTAGGCGTCAGTTTATAATCTGATCCCTCTTGTACAAATGGATTCTGCCCTAAATTGCTTATCTTTAAAGGAACTGGTTCAAATACCCTATAACATTAAATGTGTTTAATAAACTTACAGAATTCATTATACAAATATGAATAAAACAACTTACCCTTTTCTGTGTCTTAAGAAAACATGTTTAAACTTATGCATCCCTCTTCTGTTGCTCACGGAAGAACTTAACAAACACGTAACAAAGAACTGTTCCTTGGAACCATTGTCATTGCAAAAATAGGACGCAAATTCTTTATGTAATACTTTATCTCTAAACGTCGGTACCAAGCTGACGTCTTGCCTGAAGCGAAACCATCCTATTACTTGTTTGTTTTTGTCACGTAAAAGGTCCTTCAATTTTTCCTTATTAATTCTACCAATAGAATTATACAAAGAATCTGGCAATGGGCAAGCTACCACAGCTTCAATATCTAAAAATGGTGGGAAACAATTGTAAAATTGTGACCTCCTATGCGACAATAACACACTGCAAAGTTTCATAATTACTGTTGTATATTTTCTTTGTTTCTACTTGATTCTCCAAATCCGTGTACTTATTTATTACGAACTCGAGCGTTTCTCCTAACAAAAATCCCATCTAGAACACGGAGAATATATTTCTATTTGAATGTTTGCATAATTTCTTTTTCATTAGGTTAGATCTTTTCGAGGTTAAAACGGCAGGTGCAATGCGGATCATCGGGCGAAATCAGCAGAAATCAGTGGTAGTCGTTAATAACAAGTAAGGGTCGACGAATTTCTTTTTTTTTACCTGGTCTCCGCAGCTGCGAGCATTCTCGTAAAATAATAATGATAGAGCGGGACCTGAAATTGTGATGAGCAAATCACTATCCGCCATGTCGACAATTAACTGTTATCCACCACGGTAATTCCGACAATTCCGACTGCACTTTCTATCGTTCCGCTTGCCAGCTTTGCCGCATTAAGTGCGCATCTGCAACAAATGATTCATGTTTTTTGTTTATCTGCGCTGACGCAAATACTTAGTTCACGCGTTTATTGAGACTTTCGTTATTGAAAAATCGTTATCGATTTATGCTGTATGCGATAACAATATCATATTCACCTTTAAATAAAAGTCAGATTATTAAAGAACTATGATAATACAATATCATTCGATCAGATTAAACAATCAGTTTATAAGAAATTGACGATCGTGAATAATCGTATCTCAGTTTCTTTCTTACACCAGATATTACATAGATCTAATTTAATTATTACGTTCCGAAATTATTCAACAATTCACACTTTATACGTCATCTATTTACATTTCTTAGTAGGAAACAGAATGTGCGCATGAAATTGCATCACGCAAACCAGATTTGCAATCTACACCCACCCAATAGAAAATGGCAGGAAGTATGATCGTCATTTATCAGTCAATGAAAAATCAATCCTTCCAAACGTTGAAGCCTTTATCAAACATATCTCCTTTTTCAATTCTTTCAAGCCTTCGAAAGTCTTATTGTTTCGAATGTGAATCTAAGGGAGAACGTTCCCATTAAACAATTTATATTTGTTAAACATTGCAAAAAGATAAATTGTCAGAAGTGGGATTCGAACCCACGCCCACAGAGTGGACTGCGACCTGAACGCAGCGCCTTAGACCGCTCGGCCATCCTGACTTTGGTTGCTAATGAATTTTGTATTAAGAAAATCTCTGGACAATTAATATAGCGTATAAATTTCATTAAGAAATTCATGTGACAAGAAGCGTTCGCATACAACAGATAATAAGCGTACGACCCTGAATTTTAAATCGAGTAGACATCATCGTTTTGCTTATGACTTATTTAAATTGAAAGTCATTTTCATGCACGCTTAATATTAATATAAAGATTTCTCATTCTTTAACGTATGCCTAAACATCAACAAGAGACGAGTTTGTGACTTTGTTCATCCGACAATTTAACAATCTCTGCTTAGACTCTTTTTTCAAACATAGATTTCTAGTCATTGTTCATAGAGCAAAGTCTGTCTCTTCAGCTACGAAACGTCACGCGCTCGCGCGGTATGCTCTTCTCCCAAAATACCCCCGGTTTGTTCGCACGCGAGTCGCCCGTATTTCTAGCCGCGAATGTAAATTCGATGTAGGGCTCGAGGATCGCGTGATGTAAGTCTTTAGTGATCTCTAGAGAGGCGGCGAGATTGCCTGTCGTCGTCCGTGCTCTCTGATCCCTTGCCCGTCTCTTCCCGGTTTTCCTCCTTTTCCCGTTTCACGACATTAATAGAACTCATCTTGTTCCATCGTCGTCGACGATTTCGGTGACGCCGGATCATGGCAAACAAATGGGATTACCTCGGCGAGAAATGGGAGCACATCGACGTAAAGGTGAGTGAGTCAAGTAATTCGTTGATTTCGCTCGCCCCATCCTGGTTCGCGACCTTGACTTTCTTACGTTGCGTAAATGGTTGATCAGAATGCTCGTTAATTGGATTAAGCTGACCGATGACTTGAATCATCTCGAATAACCGTTCGTAGATCTTGTTCGCACCATTCGGTGATTAAGGGTGCTAATTGGGTAGATTGCATTTCATTAGACATAGCGCGGCTCGGAACAACTTCCAGGGAAGTTTAAAATTTATTTCTTAAATCTACGAGCGAAGCTTGGAAGCTGATCATAGGCTAATTAGCAACATGATACCGCAGAAAGAAATCGATTATCATACCGCAAGTTATTCAGCTAATCATCTTGCAATTATCGTTGCAAAATCTCGAAGCTGCTAATTTTGTACTAGAATCTAGGTAGATAATAATTACTTGGAAATTAAATGGAATTAGACAAACATTACCATAATAATAGAAAATAAGTCGTGACATTAACGATAATTATATAAAATGACGAGCAAAAGTGTCCACACATTTCGCCGGTTTTATAAAAAACGCGATAATACGACTAACTTTTCAGTTGATCGGTAAAGACTAAGTACTAGTAATTACAAAGTACATCTGATTAACAAAATGTACTTTCATTAATATTCATATTGTGCAGATTTTGCAAACATCTCAAACGATGTTTACAGTTTTGCACGGTTCATTAAAAAAGTTTATGATAGTGTGTAATTGCAAGACAGTGAAACACTGAGTGTTCACTACTTCGCAGTCAACTGTTTTATGTCAGTATTAGATTACTCTTCAGTTTGCACATTGTTTAATACGCTTAATCCAAGATGAAGCAACTAAGTGAAGATAAGAAGAACAGTATCATTTGTTCATGTGATAAAGGTCAATAAATTGCAGAGAAATGTGATGTCAGTCGTATGATAGTTACAAGAATAAGAAAAAGATGGTAATGCATCAATTTCTTCACAAAATGGTAGACCGCGTCTGATTTCGGACAGAACAGCACGTGAAATTGCACAAAGTATTCGTACAAAACACCGAAAAATGGGTCATCGTTACAACTCACCAGCTGATCGCAACAGTGCTAAAGCTGCACAGTGTCGCCGGTGGAGGTTACCGGTTACGAAATAAGCACGGTTTCGCGTCTCTTTTGGCGATCGTGACGATCTTTGAAGCGAGGACACATTTACATAACTTCTCTCGCGAGCTCAGATATACGCGGCAGAGAAAGGGAGGAAAAGCGAGATGTGAGCTTTCATTCATGATTTTCGCGTGACGCAAATCACCGCACGTTCCACGTATATTGATACAACGCGAACAAACGACGTATTATTATAAATAACGCCGGAACACGTTGACGTCCGTTTTATTTTCACGCGAACACGCGCCTCATTGTCGTTGACTTTTACGATAAGGAAAATGTACCAACCGTGAGACATAATTTATTATTACGATACACTTGGGGTTCCCTTTTTAGAAGTTACTTCTACGAGCAAGTGAAGATTTCATTAGCTGTATCTATCAGAATGATTTCGTTCATTCTTAGTTCACTGAAAGATTTTATCAAACGAATCGTCAAAAATCATACGAGATCATCGAATTATAAAATGATCCATTTAGGATTTATTTTTCAGAAACCATTCGCAAGTAAAAAGCTATTGTTAAGTATACCACAAGGATTTCGTCGCAGATGCGAGTTCATTGAAAGATATCGTTAGAAGAGGAATGACGCGGGTCAGTAAGCTCAACCCGCGATGAAAATTGGCGAACGGCTGCGCATGTCTTGTACAATGATCACCGAAAACCACATTCTTAATGATTGCACTAGCGTGTCACATGTAACGCCTCTACATCGATCTGCTCGTGTCCTCGTGTTGAAGAACCCTACCCTCTTTTTTTCATTGTCTCGTCATATCTGCTTTCCTCGTCTTCTCATTCTAACTACGTACGACGACGTTCAAAACTGTTATTCTCTATTGTCTATCGTCTTACTTTTTAAAGACGACGTTAGAACTTCATCCACTTTCCATTTTTTCATCTAACGGCCAATAAAATCCAATAGATAAGAATTTATATATGTTAGATTATGATCTAACAGGGTCCGGAATGTCGAGGAGGAGTATTTGGAGACAGGTTGTTTCAATAAATAGAAATAAATTCCAATTTGGAATTTAAAGTATCGAATTTATTATACCGGGCGCGAACGCCCGATATCCCCAATCAAGGGGCGCGGTAGCGGCCCGAAGGCAAGTTTGTATATGTATATACAAATATTATTATACGAAACGAAGATGTATCTTTGTCGGCGGTCCTTAACGGCGAGACCTGTAAATAGAAAAATGTGAAAAACACACCATTTCAATCTTCAAACAATATATAAATTTCTACTTAGTTGAGGAAGCAGGGATGTACAATAAGTGAGGGAACATTGGCCTGCATAGACTGTGAACCTTTCGCGTTTTATTTATCGAATCGATCACGAGTGCATGCGTGGAGCTAAAAGTGGACCATAAACTCGATCAGTTAATATGAATATACGGCGACACTAACTGAAGACTTCAAAATCCATTTCAATATTTATACACTTGAAAGTAGTATCTCTCTCAGATAATAAAGAATTGACTAAAAATAACTGCGAGGAGTGTTCCACCATTTGAAGAAATTCTCAAGAATTCTTTCTTATAAACGAGCCATTTAGTTATACGTATTAATTATCGAATTGGTATCGATCTGTTCGTAGCATTCCATGTACACAAGAGCGTATCGTTTAACTCTCGATTGAAACGTGACGGGCGATTAGCATGGAGTACATGCTGATAACGCGAATCAGTTCTTTGTTGACGGTCGCAATTGAAATTATAAAACTCTTTAATGCGTTACGAGCGTAAGACCTAGCGCAACGTTGCTACAATTATTATACATCAAGATGAGCTCGTAATTAATAAGATGTTACGAAAATAACTAAACTGGTGATCTATTTATACTCTGACGTATTTCTTCACCGATTTTTCACAGTATAGGTGCGACTGATTAATTGAATGTGAAACATTTTTGTAGTACACGATCCGCCGCGTGCGATCGACGTCGAACTCGTTCGCCTTGGATGGAGCTCGACCAGCGTTGGGACAAGAAATCTCGCACGACTGTAGTGGGAGATTTCTTCTGTGAAACGCTTTGATATTTCTTCTACGACACTTCGTAGCTTTCATCTACAGAATGAATGTATCGTCAAACTGTATCAGAATCAACTATGTCTCGAACCATTCAATATTGATTCACTAAATAATTACAACCGTTCGAAGCATCTTCCATCGAGCCATTCCGCAAAGGAGCAACCTCGCCCTATAGCCATCGATTGCAATTCCTATGATTCGATTCAAGGCGAAAGCTTGATTTTATCGTTCAAATAACTGGACAGAAATTAATCAAACGATAGCAATATTAAATCAATTATTTTATAGAAATAGGAATCAACATTAAATACGGATATGATATTACATAATATCTATTTTACTGCTGCATCTCCTCTACGTAAAGAAATATTATTTTCATCAATTGCAAATATAGTTTTTACCGACTCAATGTAATAA